CAGGGTAGTACCCCTCACTGCAGTGCGCAGTACCTCAAGCCCCTCCTTCTCAACCTTTGAGGCACGTGACTAACGGCGCCTCCTTCTCAACCTAGGCCCCTCCTTCTCAACCTAAGCCCCTCCTGGCACGTGACTCAACCTTTGGGGCACGTGACTAACGGCCCCTCCTGACTAACGGCCCCTCCTTCTCAACCTTTGAGGCACGTGACTAACGGCCCCTCCTTCTCAACCTTTGAGGCACGTGACGAGCTTCACAGTTCTGTTCTGTTAATCATAGCGTCAGAGTATTAACTATTTTAACATATTAATATAAATTAGGGCCGGAACTTTAACGCGTTAATTAAGATTAATTAATTACACAAAAATTAACGCGTTAAAAAAATTAACGCATTTTAATCGCACTTATTTTTGCACCGCGGAACGTTTCTCACTGGATGAGTTTCAGGCGTACCGATTATACTGGAGCACCAACTAACGTTCATGACTTCAGACAACAACAAACCACAGTGAACAACAGTGGGAAATGTTGTTTTAAAAAACGGACGGATGGAAGCGTCGATAAGAGCACGGTTGTGTGCAAATTATGCAAAAAGGAATTCGCATATCACCGCAGCACATCAAGCCTCAAGTATCACCTCAATGCAAAACATATAGCAGCTAGCGTGGACGTTAGCCTCTTTTATCGCGTTCACACCAAAAAGAGCCGGTACTAAAATTAGTTCATGAGAACCTTTTTACCCCAACGAAAGTCCTTGCTAGAGAGCAGAGAGCTGCTAGAGAGCAGGGACTTTCGTACGGCTCTCTTGTGAGAAAAGAGCTATATGTCTGATTGGCTGGGCGGATTGCAAACCACGCCCCGTAAAACTCCCAAAAAGTTTTGTGAAGCCGCCATTTTATTATCCTCGCATTAGCATTATTAGCATTAGCCCAGCGCAGAAACGCAGAGAGACTAACTTATGGCAACACAACATAAAACATGGGAGCGGTGGAGATGAGGAGGTGTCGGCGTTCTGGCGATTTACTCGGAAGGCTTCAGTAGAAGCTGCTGGGAGTCCCAGCAGCTTCTACTAAAGCTAGTCCCCAACTCCGGGGACTTCCGGCCGGGGACTTTGGGCGGCAGTATACGCCGTGAAGTGGTTAAACCCAAAGCAGAAGAAGAAGAAGTGACGTCAGCGGCTTCATTTGCCTAATCCACCCCCAGGTTCAAAGAGTTCTCATGAACTAAGTTCTCATGAACCTTTGTGGGAAAAGTACTGCGGTGTGAATGCGCCTAATGGTATACTAAAATCCATGTGAAAAAAATTGCTTCTCACTGTTCTCAGGTCAAATATTTATATGTGATTAAAAATGCGATTAATTTCGATTAATTAATTACAAAGCCTCTAATTAATTAGATTCATTTTTTTAATCGAGTCCCGGCCCTAATATAAATATATATACCTTTTGAGACATGTGACGAGCCTCACAGTTAACAATAATGATACCAATGATGATGGCGAGTGATCTGTCGCCATGGCAACGACATTTAAAAATGTAAAACTCAAATTAAACACATTAACAAAGCATATTTTAATGTCTATTTGCATGTTAATTGCATCAATTATTTCAGTTATGACTTCAAGAAAGGGCCTTCATTTGTTTTTTAACTTTTTAATTTGATTTTAATTTCAGAGGCAATATTGTATATTTACTCACTTTTGACTGAAAAACATGTGATATAAATGAAATCATATCACATTATTTCCTACCAGTATTTAAAAATATATATTAAAAAAGTGCCATCGTATTGACAAATTGATAGAATTGACAGGATAATATCAATGGTAATATAATACTGTGAACAGAGCCATTCCGCATGTACTTCTACTTTTGATACTTCGAGTACATTTAGCTGATAATACTTATACTCTTTTACTTAAGAAACACTTTGAATTCAGGACTTTCAATTTTATTGAACACAGAAAGCAACAGACAAGACAGGACAAAATAATACACAGACAGATCATGACAACTAATACATTTTGAGGCATTAGTGAACCCCCCTGCAGCGGTCACTCATGACCCCATCTCAAATGATGGCCTGCTTCTTTTGTGGAACCTCACAACCTCTTCATCCTGAAATATATTTGACAAAGACAGGTTACATGTTTAACACTCACACTGGTTCAAGACTTTATCATTTGTGATTCAACAACTTCTACCTGCATTGCCTTTTCCTCCCGTCGCCTCTTGCAGTCTTGCGACCTCTGTTGTTCAGACCTTGGTGAATGAAAGACAAACATTAAAAATATTAATTAAAAATGATATAGTCAGGTTACAGTGTAACAAATAGTTTCAAGAATGCAAATGTAAATTGTAAAATTAAAGAAACATACGGCATGGGAACGTTTTTGAGGAGAACTAGGCACCACCAGTGCCTAATTTGCTGCATGTTTGTCTTGGAATATAAAAAGCACACAACCAGATGGGTCAACAACACATGTCCTGAAAAGTCTTGTATATCAATGAAAAACTGAAATATGAAACCCTTATTTATACATACCTCATTGAAATCAAATTGGGCTCTTGCCACAATGTAAAATGCGTACTGTAAATAAAGAAATACTATATTATGTTAGGTTGTTGTGATGCTATGGTGTTCATTGACAAATAATATTCCTCCGTGAATGTTGTTTTGGATATAAATAAATCACAGCATGTCTCAAACTATGAGCAATAATGGAGTGCATAGCATGCTGAAAGCGTTATACATTTGTATACATTATTATAAACAGAAAAATAGGACTACTATATGTATACTGTATATCCAGTATCTTACCATCAAAACAAACACCCCACAGTTGTTCGAGAACCCTTGTCTTGGTAGGCCCTGTAGTGTGAAAAGTCAAAAGTGTCAAAAATGACAATTACATCATACTCTTCAGTAGAATAATTTTAACAAATCTAACCTGGACATCATCCACACCAAGACTTGCCCAAGGCCCAGGGCACAAGATCTGAGCAAGGTTTCTGTGAACACAATGCATGTAAAAGTTAAGAATAAGTACAATTTAATTCAACTTTATAAGTACTCGAAAATCATGCAGAAAATCTTTGAACACTGTTGGAACAGGAACAAACTTGAACTTCCAAAAAAAAAGTCATTAAGGGGTCAAACAGAACAGCCCCGCTGTCAAGTTGCATCTATGGTTCTGTTCAATGCCTTTTATTGAATACAATGCATCCCATGTTAGTTCAAATAAAACAGAACCATAGATTAAAAAAAGATAGACAAGTGGTCTGAAACAGAACTACCACTGTCCGGATGTGATGTAACTGTGCGCCAAAAAACCTGAATGGTTTGGTGCGACTATCATCTCTCCAGCCAGCGCCACGGAGGGGATCTAGAAAGAAAATCTCCCTAGCTTGTGGCCTCAGTATCTGTTAATATCACACGTTCCAATATCAACAGGTATACTTTGACATACAAACGTTATATTATAAAGTTGTAGGATCTGTATTATACAACTAAATGAAGCGTTGAATTTAAAGATAGAAACACTATTTGCGGCATTGTACAGTAAACAAACAATAGCAAAGACTGAACTACATGTACTTACACAGAGTGTCCAGTGTCCAGGTTCCCACACTGGAAGGATAAGCCATTGGAGGTTTGCTGCATTTTCCTGGAAAAGCAAAAAACCAGTTGTGTTGATGTGACTACAGTAATGAGTTGGTACAAGAACATGGAGCAGCAACATGGATAATCATGATAAAAATACCGGCAGGTGTTGCATCGGATTCAGCGAAGATGGTGGAAACCAGGCTATAACATGGCTGTTGGAAGCAAACACGCCATCTACTCTCTGTAACAGATGTAGTTTCATAATGTAATATCTTATAATTGTTTGGTATAATATAGTATGTTTTATACATGTATTTACTAGGGCCGGGACTCGATTAAAAAAATTAATCTAATTAATTAGAGGCTTTGTAATTAATTAATCAAAATTAATCGCATTTTTAATCACATATAAATATTTGACCTGAGAACAGTGAGAAGCAATTTTTTTCACATGGATTTTAGTATACCATTAGGCGCATTCACACCGCAGTACTTTTCCCACAAAGGTTCATGAGAACTCTTTGAACCTGGGGGTGGATTAGGCAAATGAAGCCGCTGACGTCACTTCTTCTTCTTCTGCTTTGGGTTTACTGGCAGGCCGCAAACCACTTCACGGCGTATACTGCCGCCCAAAGTCCCCGGCCGGAAGTCCCCGGAGTTGGGGACTGGCTTCAGTAGAAGCTGCTGGGAGTCCCAGCAGCTTCTACTGAAACCTTCCGAGTAAATCGCCAGAACGCCGACACCTCCTCATCTCCACCGCTCCCATGTTTTATTTTGTGTTGCCATAAGTTAGTCTCTCTGCGTTTCTTCGCTGTGCTAATGCTAATAATGCTAATGCGAGGATATGGCGACAATGGCGGCTTCACAAAACTTTTTGGGAGTTTTACGGGGCGTGGTTTGCAATCCGCCCAGCCAATCAGACATATAGCTCTCTTCTCACAAGAGAGCCGTACGAAAGTCCCTGCTCTCTAGCAGGGACTTTCGTGGGGTGAACTAATTTTAGTACCGGCTCTTTTTGGTGTGAACGCGATAAAAGAGGCTAACGTCCACGCTAGCTGCTATATGTTTTGCATTGAGGTGATACTTGCGGTGATATGCGAATTCCTTTTTGCATAATTTGCACACAACCGTGCTCTTATCGACGCTTCCATCCGTCCGTTTTTTAAAACAACATTTCCCACTGTTGTTCACTGTGGTTTGTTGTTGTCTGAAGTCATGAACGTTAGTTGGTGCTCCAGTATAATCGGTACGCCTGAAACTCATCCAGTGAGAAACGTTCCGCGGTGCAAAAATAAGTGCGATTAAAATGCGTTAATTTTTGTGTAATTAATTAATCTTAATTAACGCGTTAAAGTCCCGGCCCTAGTATTTACATATTTTAGAACAGCTTCAATACCTTCTCAATAACTTTAAGACAGCTGTTCAGGATCTGGCAGAATACAAACACACAGTCAGTAAAATACAGAGTATATGAAACATGCCAACAATTAAAACAAAATCAGTTAGAAACAGTACAAGAAACAAAGAGCGTGATCACTCTGAGTACCATCCCATCCATGTCATTAGCCAAACCCAAACTCCAAAAATCTGACCGCGTGAGAGCCATCTTGCTCACAAAGGCTAGATGTGTGTTTGGACTTTGGGTCTTGTCCAGAACCTGTGCCAGCTAAAGGAAGAAAAAGTCAAATGAAAACCGGCATTTTAAGTCATATTTAGCAAACATACAATATTTTTGAACCGCTGAGTAGTTCACTTTACTTGTTTTTTTTTAACCTCCTGAAGCTCCTGTCCCCAGCAACCTTTGCTTGCCATAATTGTGTTGATACTAGTAAAGTCTCCCTGGTCCTTGGCATCATTCACTTGATACAAAATCAACAACAGAAAATGTATGTCTTTATACAGTATGACTTGTATGAATACAAGTTGTCAATATCAAGCAGATAACTTACACTCCTGTTGCTCCTGACCATCTCTGTGGTGTTCTGAAAATGCACTGGCCCTCCCAACTTGTGAAGGAGGAGCTGTTGAAATGAAATAATATTAGTTTTTAGTAGATATCTCCAGATAACCACATAAAAGAACAAGAACATAATGATTATAAGAAATGCTTCACCTAATGATATCCTCCCATTGACATCAAGCTGCATTTCCATATCTGCTGGGATGATTTTTCTGTATTGCTCTTTAGCTTTGTTGTTTTTTGTCACATAGTGGTGTAGTATATTTCTTTGCAGAAATATGTGTGTTAATGGTGTTGTCATGTTCAAAAAGTAATTTTTTTCCCTCATTCCTGAGAACAGTTGTTCCGCACATTGACTGTTTATGCGCCCCGCCAGCTCTGGCACAAGCTCTATCCTTCTTAGAACATCCCTTTCATCTTTGCTGTTCCCCTGGTGGAATACATCACTCAGTGCATAATGCTCCGAAGAACCAGTGAGAGGATGGCCATTTTCATCTGTTGGAACTTTGGTGTGTTTCAACCATGGCATATTCACATGAAGCTTGCCCTCTGAAGCCTGCTTCATGTTCTCCGGAGTAGGCTCCATTAACCGTCCTTGAAAAGGATGAAATGTCTCTGGCTGTCGACGGTTACCAAGCACCGCCACTCCCCTTGAATAGTCATACACAGTGACATTGGGAAAGTGTTTCCACGACAGCAAAAGATCCACATAATCCCGTGGGCTCTCTGCTCTGAGGTTACATTTAACTGAATAGACAACCCCACATGGGCAAGTAATCACAGCCCAGCCACCTGAAAGCAGAGGTCTAAGTTAGTAACATTATGGTAGGGATCTTTGGGGATGAAATGTGTTCAAATACCTAACTCCATGATCTGTGTGAAAAATGATGCAAATCACGAAATATGAACAGGTGTAATCATTTTAGAATATAATTATGATGTTATTTCACTAACCTGAGGCACCCCAAACTTTCTCAAAGACTTTGTTATAAGTCACTCATATTTGACATCTTATCTCTAAGTCTGAGGACAAGATCTGTCTTGGAGCCTTTGGTGTCCAGACCACATTTTTTGTTGAGTGCCCTTACTTCCTCTACCTGTTGTAGAAATTAATTAGTAAGCCAATTCTGCAAATAAAGTATACTTTAATTACATGCATGGTGCATTTTCCAAATTATTTCACATTATAATCACCTTCAAGTTGATGATCTCATCAGAAAGCCGCTCCTCAGTGACCTCCAGGTACTCACTGTCATCTGACATTGTAGCTGTAGGGATCTTTTCAAATTCAGTGTTCAGGATGAGGTCAGACTGCCTGGTTTGTGGCCCGATCCATGGTGCCCAGTTGTTGTAACTCAGAGGCACAACAAAGGGGTTCTTCTTACCATCTTTAGGGACAATTGTAAAATGCATTGTTTCAGAAACCATTCTCATTTTCATACATTCATATAATTCAGACAAACATTTGGGTCTTAATAGCTGGCTTTTCATTCTGCATGACCTACATGGAATGAAACCCCGACTGAGCATTTCCACAGCCACAGCATCCCAGAATTTCTTGAGGTCCACATGTCCATCATAGTCTTGGGATGGTCTCTGAATTTCACTGACTGTTATATGAAACATTTGTGATTATCTCAGATAACTACATTAGAATATTACGGCTGATCAAACTCACCTGGCATATTAAAGACACCTTTCTTGTGAAGGTCCATCACAACAACAGGTGGATGGTATCCACATGTTTCACATGCATAAATGTGATCATGGTCAGTAAGGGCCTCAAAATGTAGATAGGCATGGAGAACCCTTTCCTTGTTCGGGAAAGACACTTTCTCTGTTGTCTCAATCATTTCAATAACTCTGCTGACGGCAGTATGTGTCTGGAAAAATGTTGAGAGAAAAGTAAAAATGTCAATACACATGTAAAATATCAGTTTGTGACCCACATTAATGCTACATTAACTAATCAATACCATAACATTCCAGTTACTTTTCTGTTTCTGCCAATTTACTTGTTCTATGTTATAAATCATCTTTACTAAATTACTATATTTTAATTAGATTATTGTAACCTGAGATCGATCACTCTTGCCATAACAACACTTTCTTCACTGATGTTTGAGTTACTATGGCTTTTTGGCAGAAAATGGGGATTCGGGTAATAACTAATAATAACAATACAAATTACTAAAATGTATATACCGTAGCGCCTTTCATAAACCCATGGTTGATTTAACAGAGGGACAAACACAAAACTCACTCTGGGACAGAACACACTGGGACTACAAAGAAAAAAAAATGTTGGGAGGCAGATGAGGCTAACTGAAATTAACCAAGGTCTATCTTTACATTTATTTTACATGACATCCTTCAGTAAACACAACACATTAACTTCTAAATCTCCTCACCTGTAATGCATTCCTAATTGTCAGGCACAAATGCAGAGAAAGGATTACGTGGTCATCATAATTGTGGAGCCCATCCTCCCACTCCTGGTACCTGTACATCAGGCTGCAATTCAAACATTTTTTTCGGTAGGTGGATATGCCTGAAAAGAAAATGTCAACCAAAATATTACTTGCCGTCCTAATGACACCAGTAAAACTATTTCTTCTTTTATTATTTGTATGTCTGAATCACGGACATTAAGATCATACAAATGTTACAAGATAAAATCAATAGTACAACTGTGCTTTTACTGACCTTCCGCCACCCCTGTGGTTGTGAGAATCCTGCTTTCCATTTCCATTGCATTCCTTACACTTGGCTTCTTTAGGGATGAGGTGCTTCAGATGAGCATCTAGTGCACCGGCATCTCTTGACTGCTGGATGGTAGCCTGTGGGAGTTCCGCTGGAACTTTTTTATTACCCGATAGGTAGTTTAGCATCCGCTTGATGCCAATCTCACTAGGTGGATAATGGTCCTCTCCTGGTTCACTATCCTGCTCAGTGAAAGTATTTGGTGGAATGGATTCTTCAATATCCGTCAACTTAACTTTCCTGAACAGTTGTCTTCTTGTGGCAAAGAGGTGCCATTTCCCGATGGCTTTACGGGTGCATGATTGTCTTGGTTTAGCACAAGAACAATGCCAGCTGTTCTGCTTGCTGTTGTATGCAACCACAACCCTTCCCAGCCTACTGTAGTATGAAGCCTTAGGCTCATACACAGAAATGTGATATTTGGTTTCTGGTCCACCAACAGTGAGCAGGACAGACAGGGGCACACCCTTAGCCTCTGCCTCTTGTTGCCACTGTACAAGACTGGCCTTGCGCTCCTCACCAAACCATTTCTCCTGAACCATTGTAGCCAATGATTCCTTTTGCAAAGTTAATGGTTTGTTGCGTGCAGGTGGGCAGTACAGCAATGATTGCAAATGCTGACATTCATAAGGCAGCATACCACTTCTTCGGGCAAAGTCAGCATTGAGTTCACATAGATGAACCTCGCACATGACTTTATGTGTTGGTCCCCAAGTATTTTTAATGACGTGTATTGGTGTTGCTGGGCCTGAAAATGTCTTCTCCACTGCAAACACACCATTGTGTTCATCAATACACTGGCTTTGCAGATGTCTTTCCTTGGAGACCGTTTCAAAATATGCTGTGTGCTTGCGAGGCACATGTGTTTTATAATTGTTCTTGTTTAATTTTAGATTGCAGTGTGGACAATTTACAGTTTTTTTAGGCCTATGTCGCTTTTCAGGAGCAGGATGACGGGGAGCAAGGAGCAGGTGAGATGGTGGGGGGAGCTGGGCAGGTGCTGGAATGAGCAGGTGAGATGGTGGGGGGAGCTGGGCAGGTGCTGGAATGAGCAGGTGAGATGGTGGGGGGAGCTGGGCAGGTGCTGGAATGAGCAGGTGAGATGGTGGGGGGAGCTGGGCAGGTGCTGCAGTGAGCAGGTGAGATGGTGGGGGGAGCTGGGCAGGTGCTGCAGTGAGCAGGTGAGATGGTGGGGGGAGCTGGGCAGGTGCTGTTAGTCGCCCTACAGTCACAGCATTTGGCTCATGTGAATAGACATGCCGTAAAAAATGGCCCCTATTAATTATGGTCTGTGAGCAATACAGACAATGAAAATGGCTTGCTGTTCTGCAGCTTAAGCCACACTTAACAATTGTGAACTCTGAAAACAAGAAACAATAGTAAAGTCAATAAGCTTGAAGACATTAAGCTCTCATTGTAAATAATGTGAAAATACAGACAGCACTAAAAAGAGTAATTTATTATACCTCTGTGCCTCACAGAAGAATGGCTTTTGGCATGGTATTCCACCTGAAGCCTCTGACCCTGGTATTGGCAGAACGGGCAGTGATAACTGCCAGAATTACAAATATACACTTTTGGGCTCCCATCATGGTGTAAGTGTGTGATGTGTTTCTGGTCAAAGAAAATAAACACAAACAACATGGTTAGGCAATAGGCAGGAATCAAATAAGCTGCATATACATTTATTTTGTAAAAATCGAATTTAAATATAGTTTATGCAGTTTTTTCAGGACTTTGCTTATACAGCAATCCTACTATTACATAGTATAGTTATTAGTTCTCAAGTAGTGCAAAAATAATATAATGACTTTCCTAAAGTTTTCAGGACTTTGCTTATACAGCAATCCTACTATTTTGAAGCAACACAAATGTAGTTTTACTTTCAATCAACACATTTTAAACCGCAGCAAAAACAAATAGTTAATTTATTCAGGGATACTTACCTCCATCGTGACAGAACTGCTACCCCGGAAACAGGATGTCACGTGCCTCAAAGGTTGAGAAGGAGGGGCCGTTAGTCACGTGCCAGGAGGGGCTTAGGTTGTGAAGGAGGGGCCTAGGTTGAGAAGGAGGCGCCGTTAGTCACGTGCCTCAAAGGTTGAGAAGGAGGGGCTTGAGGTACTGCGCACTGCAGTGAGGGGCTTCTCGCCACAGGCTGTCTCAGGCTTCCATCATAGGGAGAGGAGGGTGGCGCTTGGACGGCTGCTTTGTGCTACTACATCAGGTGGGACGCCATTTAGCTAACATTAGCGACCACATTACGTTTTTAGATGTTGTTGATTAACGTCCCTTAAAGGTGGGGTATGTAATTTATTTCAGAAACACTGATTGTTATATGCCATGGAATGCTTTTAACATCCAGATAGCAATGCATATATGAAATGCTTTGACAATAAATACATACCAAATGTTCATCTGTGGAAGCCGTAGCGCTGTAAAAAGCACGACCAATCATTTTAGCCGGCCTGGCTAACAAACAGTGAGCAGCTGCCCAGCTGCTCACTGTTTGTAAAAGTAAATAAATAGTATTTTCATTTCAATAATGTACTTTCTATACCCTGCTTCATAAACAATACTGACATCCCTGCTCCTCCGAGTCTGGGGGTCCGGGGATGTGAGGACAGCGCGAGGACACAGACAGGGAAGCTGCTTTACTTCATAAAGGAAATGGTGGTCAATATTACAGTAACAACATAGGAGCTAAAACGCTTAATAACCTTCATTATGTGTTAGAGAAAGAACATAAGAAAGTTTGACAAAGATGAGGCTGTGAAACGGGCAGCGGATCCGCTGTGTGTAGAAAGAGAGAGAGAGAGAGAGGGACGCTGAGCTGCACCATGCAGCGATCAGCTGATAAGGACACTGCGGGGCGGCCTCCGCCCCCTGTCCTCACAACTCTTATTAATCCCGGCACTGGACAATTGTTATTTGTTCCTACTCGGAACGAGTTTTGCTTCCCAACCCTGCCACTGTGCTACACTTCCCGCCCCGCCCCATCTAACTGTACAGAAAGCGGCGAGATGCATTTCCTTAGGAATCGACAAGCAGAACCGAAACTAACATTTCTAAACGAACAATGGCGGACACGTACAATTTGCGAATGAGTTCTGCCTTTTGTAAACTGAATTTATCAATAATTTGTCAATAAATCAGGGCGAAAAACATCACTTGTCCGCCGGACAAGTCAATTGAAAGATCTACTTGTCCGATATTGTAAATAACACGTCCCGGACGGTGGGACGTGTACTTTTTCGCACACTGAACATTGTGGTAAACTAGCTAAACTGAAGATTCTCGTCTGTTCTCTGTCTTCTCCTCTTGTCCTGTCAATTTAATTTCATCTCTTCATGTGTCATTGTTTCCTCTTTTCCCTTGTTCATTTGGCTTTGCTCTCTTGTTTTGTTTCCTATTCTATTGTTTGGTCAAGAAGAAGTTATGGAGTTCTGTTCTCTCTCTTTTCTATTCTCTCCTATCATGTCATCTCCTTTTGTCCTCTCCTTTACTTTCAAGTATATTTGCAATAAAGTAATTGTGTAGAGTTTGTAGAATGTATTTGATGAATATATGACCATTCTTTGTTATCTCCACTATATTCCAGACCACTGAGCCAACAGACATTAGATACCTTTGTGTTCGGGGACTGCCAATCATCTTGGGGGATGAGCCTTCTGCCTTCTTCAAGACCTGCACCGTAAGTTACTTCAACCCTTGTGTTATGTTCACATTTTGCACCCTTTGGTAATTTTTAAAAGAGTTAAAAAAAATACGGAACTAAATTTAACTTACACAATTCCTTTTATATATTGTCTTTAACTAATTCACCAACAATATAAATGAAATATGATACGTTTTTTTAAATACTCTTTGCTAGATCAAATTGAACAATGGAAGTGTCAATACAAATGTAATTTATGGAAGAAAAACTAGGTTTACATGTTCATGCTTTTCTAGGAAAAATGCAAATTTTTTTTTTTTTCATTAATGTTATTGTTTGTAATCTTTGTCTTATAATAATTAGGGATGCCAGTGATTATTCGATTATTCGAATATTTGTTACAGTCTCCATAATCGAATATTATTTTATTTATATTTTTTTTTATTATTATTTATGTTTTTTTTTTTTTTTTTCTGGCTTAGTTTCAATCAAAATATAGACTAATGCTAATAATAGTAATAGTATTAATAATTGTAAATGGCCATTGGTCACACCACCAGTTTGTTTTACTGTAAACTTGGAGGAAGCCTGCGTGCAGAGCAGACTGCTGCTGCAGCACGCTACACACCGACCCCGCCCCCACCCCCCTCTCCCTCACACGTGCGACTAAAGATGAACAAAGCGGCAGGTAAAAAGAGTTCCTCCTCGTGGAACTACTTCGAACTTACAAGTCCAAAGGAAGTTAAATGCAAGCTCTGCGAAAAGACGTTGGTCTATCACAGCTCAACCTCAACAATGCGTTTTGAGTGCATCCATTTGAAGATGCGCGATGCGCGCACAATTTATTTATTGCAATGCTGCTATTATTAATAATACAGGCTACAGCCTGTATTAATAATAGCATTGCAATAAATAAATTGCTATAATAATATGTATTGCAATGCTGCTATTATTAATACAAGCTGTAGCCTGTATTTAATAATGGCAGCATTGCAATAAATACATTGTGCGCGCATAGCGCATCTCCAAATAAAGGCAATGGCAGGCACTTTAGAAAACAACAACAAATAAACCAACATCATGTACTGGGGGGTCGGTCGAATAATCGATTATTATTCGCCAGGGCTGCCGAATAATCGATTTTGATCATGGTCAGTTTCTGGCAACCCTAATAATAATCAAAGCCTTCGAGGAAATATAGCAATTTAACAGCAATTGAAACACAAGAACCACACATCCAAGTGTTTGGCTGTGAAATACTGATGAAACATCCATTTAAATGACAGAACAGATATAAACACAAAGCAAATATAAACAATTAACAGTCACTATTCATAAAATACAGTAAATCCGAAAAATACATATATGTTGGCCATTTTGCTGGTAGATAATTGTAGTTCTGCACTATACACTGTAATGTGAGGTTATGTGTCTGTTTAGTCCTTCCTCCGGCGTGCAGGTGCGAGGGGGACAGTTCGTTAAAATGTTTATAATGTTCTGGAATAGTTTTGTGCACACACTACAAAGGGTACAGATCAAGGGAAAACAGGTTCAAACATTGTGTGTGTGTGTGTTTGTTTGTTTGTTTGTTTGTTTGTGTGAAAATTAAAAGAATTCCACATGTCCTTCACAATAAATAAGCCCCATGGAGTTTCAGGTTGAACAAAAATATCCTTATATATTTTTTTACTCATTGAAAATGGAAATCGGGTAAATTTGACCCGAACTCCAAATATGTTGTATGTGAATAATGAAGATTGTCTGCATCAAATGTTCACAAATTCATGGCAGCCAAGCTCCATACAAAACCATATTTGGTGCACAATTTGCAACTAGTACTTGTAATGTACAGATCCAGTTATGGCGTCTGACGTAAGGCCAATTTAAGGCCCAGATTGTCCTTTTATTTATTATTTTTGGTTTTTATGTTGTTTGATGCTTTTCATTATAAACAGTGGACGCTACTTTTTGGTCGACGATGTAGAATTATCTGTCAATCTCTTTATTTCTCTATTAGGATGCGGCTGATAAGGAGGTGTACAGTCAAACGCCACTGGGAATCCTCTGTGCCGGAGAAAATCCTCAGCTCAACCAGGGCCGGCGTCATGGGCGGGCCCCATGGGGCCGGGCCCGCCCATCCAGGATTTGGGCCCGCCCATGAGAAATCAGGGCTGATTAAAAAAAATGATATACAAATATTTTTTAAATGTTTGTATTATTATGTTTATTGTTGTTATTTGTAGGGCTTTGTCATACCATTTATTTTTGTATTAAACTATGTTGAAACATTAGTATAATATAATTTTTTTATTTTGCTATGAAATTCTGAATGAATCTCTGTGCGCGAGACTGGTTTTTCGCGGGGTTGAGTTGTGTGTGTTTTTTTTTTAAAATGAGACGCGTCACAGCAGCGTCAGTTTACTGTGGCGGTTAGTTTGGCTAGGCTATTATCCTTTTTTATATGTATCGGCAACAATGGATATTAGGAAGTGGTTCACGAACAATAAGAGCTCACAAAAGGATTGTGGCACTGACAACTCAGCACCAGATGCTGGCAACTTGACGTGTCTCCCGCCACCTATTCCTTCTCCTCCACCAGGTCCCGAGTCAACGTTGTCAGACGAAGCCTCTTCGGGGCCGGGCAGGAGCAGCAGTTCAACCTTTAGCAGCCCAGGCCCAGCTCTCATTCTAAACGCTCGTGATCTTGGAGATTTTAGTTTTCTAGTTCCAGAGGACCTTGGCGTGGATACACCAAAACAGGTAGTCCTGGATAGTTTCCCCTCTCGGCTCTTCTCCGGGAAAAAACGTAGTTTTGCCAGCTCATGGTACCAAAACCGACCCTGGCTTGAATACTCCGTAAAAGGCGATGCTGCGTACTGTTTCCCATGCAGAAAGTTTAAGGCTCATCATCATGACGCATCGTTCACCATAAAAGGCTTCAAAGACTGGAAGCATGCCTTACAAAAGGGCACGGGTCTTAGCAAACACAGCACTTCCAAGGAACATTTAGTCTGTGAGAAATTGTGGAGAGAAAAACAAATGCGCATCGAGACTGGTCAGGAAATCACAACTCTTGTCAACAAAGATCAGCTGGCTCGTAACAAATATTACGTGGGCTCCATTATTGACATTGTGACTTTTCTCTCTACCAGCAATCTTCCTTTCCGAGGTGACCACGACTCTTTAGAGTGTATGTCCAAGTCTGGCAGTGGGTTATTTTTGTCATTGTTTGAGTATACCATCGAAAAGGACCCAGAACTCGCGAAAATTGCCCCCACCATTCCCAAAAATGCTACCTACATAAGCCATGATATACAAAACGAAATAATTGACCTGATGAGCAAAGTTGTAACGGAGCATATTGTTGAGGAAATAGGCGACTCCTTTTACACTGTCAAAATAGATGGAACCCGAGACCCAACAGGCTGTG